CCTATCACTTCTTGGGACTCATTTAGTAAATTGTCATAAGACTTTCATCTAATTGGTAATAGTGGACTCCACATGCCAGTAGATTAACAGAGGAAGAAATTGCTATATTGCTTATTATAAGGAGATACAAATCCTACCATACAGTAGAGGCATGGAGGTGTGTGTCAGAAACTTATACGATCTACTGTAGTAACTCTTGATTGCTTCCATTTCAACCATGCAAGGGCACAGGAAATGAGGGATCAGACTTCTCAGGGATAAAGGTTGGGGATATGTCTTTATGCAAGCCACCTCGGATAGCAGAGGTTTTGGCCAGGTATGAGGGCAAAGCAGAATGGGTGATAAAGGACAGAGATGTCAATTACAACTTGGATATCAATTGTAGCTGAAAAGGAACTGCAGCTTGTCTTCCTGGTCTTTGCTGTTTTGTTTTGTTTTTGAGAATTCATAACCAGATGTTATTTTGAAGAAGTAATGATAGAACATGAGTGTGAAAATAACATAAGCTATGACTGGGTCTGAGTGGTACAAAGACTGAACCCTGGGAAATAGTTTTTGGTGTCGTGTTTGTACTCTCTGCATTCAACTTTTCAGTCATGCTGGTAGCCTTCTACTGAAAGCCAATGAGACTCTCAGAATGAGGTTCTCTCTGCAAGTGACAAGGAGCTAATGCCCTTGGGAGCAGACCTCAGTTGGTACAAAAGCAGTGATGCCTGTGTGCGTGCATACATACACACTCACACTCACATTCACACACATACACATATTCTTACACACAAATATGATGAAATAAATGAATATACATTTAAACATGAATGGCTTGCAAGTTACCTTATATTTAATGAAAAATAAAATTAGAATTTTTCCCAAAGAAATATTAAGTTTGGATATATGCAAACATTTAAAAATAGATGGATTTTTTTTCCAAAAAATTGTTCAATATTCCAGATAATTAATGAACTCGTAATTCTTTTCCATGAGTAACCTAGTAGTTAGATACTACTGTTAGAATATAAAATAAAACTTGTGTAAAACATAAGAAAAAAGAGCCCAAACGTAATAACAAGAAAGACCCAAGGGATCTGGAATCTAGATTTTCTCAATAGAACCCATAAGACCAGTATCTTCCATAGCAGCGTGGGCGGTAGCAGGAGTATCCATAACCACCATAGCCACAACCACAGCCGTAGCCACAGCCCAGACCACCGTAGCCACGACCACAGCCGTAGCCACAGCCCAGACCACCGTAGCCACAACCACAGCCGTAGCACAGCCCAGACCACCATAGCCACAACCACAGCCGTAGCCACAGCCCAGCCCACCGTAGCTGTAGCCCAGGCCTCCGGAGTAGTTGCCGTAGTAGCTCATGGTAACAGGAGTAGAAGATTCAGCTGAAGAGCAGGATCAGCTTCTTCAGTATGAAATTCCTAACCTGCCCAGGGCCTTTTATACAACCGGAGTGGTACAACCATAAGTAGAGTTGACTCATTTTCAAACTAATTGGCATTTAAAAACAATATCTCAAGAATCCCTAATCACTAGTATATTCAAAACTCCTTTTCTGTTCTGTATAGATGCATACAATGAAATCATGTACCTTTAATATGATTTTTTGTTTGTTTTTTTTTGTAATTGTGTAGAGTTTGCTTACTCAAGAATCCAGCCTCCATGAGATTCTACAAGCCATTTAAGCCTCACCTTTGGACTTGCTAGTATCGTTGTTGCTTATAATTCTCATTACCTTTTGTTGGGACCACAAGAAATGTCACAGGGAAGAGGAGAACATTGAGAGTTTGTAGAGGAAGAGACAAAGACAGGGTTAACTCACTGATGCATACTGGTGTATTTTATGTTTTGTCTTCTTCTTCTAGAAGAATTACTATTGATTGATACTTCACATGGGATCTTAGGTGATAACATTCTACCTCTTCCATCATCCTCTTTTTCTGGCGTGCTGTTGGTGTGTTCCTACTATATATGGGAAAGCTTTCCATTCAAGCATGAACATGGACATCTCTGACAAAAAGATACAAGTACAGGTGCACACATACACATATTTCAGAATTATGGCTCCACTTGCTGAGGATGTACAT